GGGGGGGGGGGGGGGGGGGGGGGGGGGGAGAAGTACGTAACCTATGGCTGCCAGGCCCGGAGGACACTGAGGCAGGCTGATAATGCCACGTTCAGAAGTGACCCTGTTAACCACGGTCTCCCTGAAAGCATGCCAGATGGAATGGTCTTGGCACAGACCACTTCCCTTGAGAGATTCTGGCTCTCCCGCCTTTTCTTTAAGCATCAAAAATTCAAATTTCAAGGCCAAAACACCAGGGAAATTAGCTGGTCGAGAGGAATGAGCATTGGATTTCAGGCATCTGGAAACTTGGCTCGTAGCTGCAAATTTGTCACTAATTCTGACAAGTCCTGTAACCGTCCTGTTTTCTGCCTTGCCACGTACACGGAACTCTCTGATTTCAAGGGGGTTTTATACCGTTGGAACAAATAATGCATGGATACAAGCCTGCTCCAAGATCTAATTTTCTAGATACGCACTAACTGCATGTCAAGTTCCCAGGCTTTCAAGTTGAACAAAAGTTTGGATTATTTCAAACTTGAGGGGCACAAGAGGTGGGGGGATGGGTTTCAAGCAAATGGTACCACCTTAATGTTGTAAGGAGATAGCCAAGAAAGATAAGTTTTTAAAAAGGAATTCTTACGATGATAATGTAATCATTTGGGTATTTTAGATCATGGGATAGTATATTGAACTTGCAGATTTAGGGTTTGGATGACAAGGGACCTCCAAAATGCGGTTGTAGGTTTTGTTTTTCTGGGAACTTTTAGAAACGAAATATCTGTTCTGGGTAAACTGTGGTTGGAGACCCTGAAGCTACCAGTGGAACTCATACAGGCCTGTTGCAGCCCAGTGTCTACCAGTATCTTTCAGCACACTGTTACCTTTGCTGACTGGGAGCTGCACCCCTGAGAGGAGTTGAGACCTAGGTGGTACCTCTGGCTAGCAATCGCTAAATGCTAAGTATGCTTACATACTCCCGCGTCTCACTGCTAAGCCTGTCTCTCGGCTGTACAGAACACCGAATCACATGGTCTGATAACCTCTCCTGTAGTTTAACATGGATGACTTGGAGGAACAGAGACTTTTATAGAGCCTGCATTTTGAGAATCCAGACAAAGCAACTTTGTAAATGGTAGCCATTAAGGACGAGGACAAAAATGTGCATGTTGTGCCCTAGAGGCACTGTGACCAACTGTATTAGTAATTTTCAGTTGCTGTGATGAAACATGCTGATCAAAAGCAATTAAAGGAAGAAAAGGTTGTCTTTGGCTTACAGTTCCAGAGAGATAAAGCCCATCGTGGCCACAAAGCATGGCATGGTGGGAAATGCATGGCAACCGGAGCTGGAAGCTGGCTGGTCTCGTTTTATCTAAACAGAGGAGGCCGACTAAATGAACAGGAAATAGGCCAGCCCTTGGTAAGAGACTTTGTTCAGCAAGTCTCCACCTCCTGAAGGTTCCATAGCATCCTCACACAATGCCCCCAAATGGGGACCAAGTACTCAAGTCCCTGAGCCCATGAGGGACATTTCTTTTTCAGACCACCATACCATAACTTTCTGCAGGGACACCAAGCAAACTCTATGTGTCTTCCAGTTTGTCCTATAGACAAGTTGAGTAATTTAAAGACTACTGAATGGAATAAAGAGCACATGGCCTAATTTTTAGAGTTTGAAATGTAAAATCAAATTTAAAGTCAAACTCTTTAGCCACTGTTTTAACCTTCTGTTACTATAACAAAATACCTGAGACAGTCACATTATGAACAGAAAAGATTAACATTTGTCCCAGTTCTAGAGGTGCCATTTCATGAGAACTTAGCTCCATTGCTTTGATCCTATGGTTGTAGCAGTAAAAACATAAAAGGAGGCAAAGCTTTTCCATTCATAAGCAGTAAGCAAAAGAAAATTAAAAGAAAGGGGTTTGAGTCCACAGTTTCTTGAAAGGATACACACCCCTGATGACCAAAAATCCTCTCAGTAAGAACTCACCCACTTTTGCTGTCCTGCTTTTGAGACAGGGTCTCTTTATGTAGCCCACGGTGCCTTGCACCCACAACCCTATTCCCTGGGCTTCCCTGCTACTGAAATAGAGGCCCACACCTCCATTTCCAGCTTAGACCTCACCTCTTAAAGGTCCACAAGTCTAGGAAGCTGTAAAACACCTTTTGTTACCTTTCCCTGAATACAGTATTGAGCTGTGTTTGACATGATTGGGGAGAGTAGTGGAATTCCTCTACTGTGGCCTAGAGTTAGAGAATGGACTAAATTCTACAAACACTAGCCTGTCACCATCCTGGAGGCTAAGTATGTCATCATTAAAACTTTGTGATCATACATTTTCCAAATCCAATCCCTCCCCTTCCTTGCCCAGGAAAGACATGGACCAATATGTAAGAAACTTTTCAACAAAAAACGCAAACCCTTCGATTCCTTGAAGCAAAGATTACAGGGAACTGACATTCCCACCGTAAGTCAGCCGCCTCAGCCCAAGGTATGCCAACGATTTCTTTACTTCTCAATACAGAAAGGACATTTAAGCTGGTTCCTTGGCTCTCTGGTTTCATTTTTTGCTTGATAAGGCAGTGTAATGGAATTTAAATATAATCCACCTTTACTGTTTTCTGTATAATCTTACTTAGATTTCCAAATAAAGTTTAGATACTTTCCAGATGTAGTTGAAAGAATCCTGTTTACATTTTCATTAGCATGCCTTTCAGTCTAGAAAGTGGTCTGGGAAAAAAGTTACTCCCCGCTTCCCTGACCCTCTGAGATAAGGTTTCACTGTCGAGCTGAGGTTGGCCATGAACTGCCTGCATAGCCCAACTAGCTTTAAGTTCACAATCCTTCTGCCTCAACTTCCCCAGTGTTGAGACTGCACATGTGCATGCAATACCAGGAAGAAAGTTACCGTTGGGACCAGCAAGATACCTGCCACCAAGCCTGACAACCTGGGCTCAGTCCCCAGGGAACCAGACGGTGGGAAACCAGTCCCGAGAGCTGTCTGTCCCCTTAGACTCCTCGAGAGCTGTGGTCTAGACACACCCCCACACACAAATAAATCAGCTAAAATGAAATCTCCAAACAAAAGTTTAAGAAAGTCACCTTTCATCTTGCATCTGTCTTTCTCTAAAGTTTTATGGTTTCATTGTTTCTCTGATTTGTGTGTGTGTGTGTGTGTGTGTGTGTGTGTGTGTGTGTGTGTGTTGTCACTGTTATGATTTGCAAACGATATTGCTGTAGTTTGCAAACTTTTAAAAATAGTTCTCTTGGGGAAATTTTTTTCTCTACAAAAAAACTTTCTCTGCCAGCTACATGACCCCATTTGCTATAAATTCAAAACCTAGGTTTTAAAAAAAAAAATCTGTGCATCGGTATGTAGTGTGGGGCAGTAGATGCTGCTTTGGTTTTGTTTCTCACAGGGTCAGCCCATGAGGAAATCCAACTGGAGACAGCAGCATGAGGATTTCATCAATACGATTCGGTCAGCAAAGCAGTGCACTCTGGCCATTAAAGAGGGCAGGCCTCTTCCGCCTCCCCCTCCTCCAACCATCAACCCAGGTGTGTGCGTATCTGGCTTGCTTCAGGGGCCACGGTTGACTTTTAGCCCTATAAAAATGACAGTGATAATGACATTGAGGTAGTTTTATTCATTGTTTAAGTGAATATATGCAGCCCACGTTGTTACCCTTTTCTTCCAGTTCACAGAGCTTGTATGTTCCCTCCTGTTGGTCCCACCTTGAGACGCCACCAGGAGACACCATCACACCTGGTAGTGTCAGTACATACCTAAAGGGCACACCATTTGCACTGTGGTTGAGGGGCAGGAAGCTGTTCACAGTTCTGTACTGGTTCCACGGGGTCAGCAACGTACAGCTCCGTGTTTGAAAGGGATGTGCTCATAAAGCCAACCATGGAAAGTCATATGGGTTAAGTGGCTTCACCGCTTTCCTTCCTCCAAGCCTTGTGCTTTGAAAAGTTTCAAATCTAAGAAACAGGAAAGAATAGGACAATAATCATTTACGTGTCTTCTCAAGTCCAAGGATTGTGGACTGTACTGCCTCACTATCTCTGTATCTCTGTCTCTGTCTGTCTGTCTCTCTCCTCTGTCTGTTTGTCTGTCTCCTCTCTGTGTCTCTTCTCTGTCTCTCTGTGTATATGTGTTTTATTGGGTCAGGTACCACACACGCACGCACGCACGCACGCACGCATGCACGCGCGCGCGCGTGCACACACACACACACACACACACACACACACACACACACACACACACAAAGATCAGAGGACAACTTTTAGGATTGATTCCTTTCTTTCTACTCTGGGTCCTGGAGATCAAACCAGGTTGCCAGGCTTGGTGGCAGGCAGGCCCCTTTACCCACTGAGCCATCTCAGTGACCCTGGAAGAAGTCTCTAACCGTGCAGTCTTAGATAGCAGTACTTTATCCTTGACAATGTCAACAATTCATTTCTGAAGGAAAGAAAACACAGATTCATGTTTTCCAAGTTATTTGAAGAATGTGTCTAAGGCTCTCCCCATACCCACCCAGCCAGAATCCAGAATCGGGTCAAGGTCCAAATATTGCTTTCCCTTGTCTTTTCAGATGGTTTTCGATGTTTTCCACCTTTACCCAATGATTGAACTTTCAGAATGCTGCCTGTTCTGTACTTGTCTGCCTGTTCGGTCATAGCGATGTTTAACTTGTCTCTCTGTCCCATCTTTTAAACAAGTTGGAAGCTAAGACTGGAGGCCCAGTTAGGTTCATTTTAACCTCTTGTCAGATGTGTGATTTGTAAATAGTTTTTCTCCTATTTTGTGTTGCTTTTGGACAGTATTGTATTTAGTTAAAGCACAACATTTTAAATTTTGAACTACTTTTTCTTTTGTGGTCTATGTTTTTCATGTTATAGACGACAGTATCATTGCCAAATACAGCACTAACACCTCTCCCCTGAAGAATCTCTTGTTTGGGGTCAAAGGTCTCACGTAGCTCAGACTGGCCTCAAAGTTGCTGTATGGTCAAAGATGACACCAAGTCCCTGGTCCTCCTTTCACTTCCACATGCTGGGATGACAGGTGTGCACCACCCGGCCTAACCCCCTGTGTTTCTTATTCTGAAGTTCTAGGATTTACTGGGAGGTGGTTTGTCTATTCTGAGTTAGCATTTGGGGGGAATGCAAGGGAAGGCTTCCCTCTTACTACATGATATAGTTGGTCAAAATGTTATCATGGAACCCAACACTTTGTACAATGACTATACAAAAATAAAAAACAAATCATTTAAAAGGTCATTCTTCCCTTCTTAAACAGTAACAGTATCTTATTAAAAGTTACGGAGGGCCCAGCAAAGTGGCTCAGTGTGTAAAGGGGCTTGCCACTAAGCTTGACAGACTTTGTTCCAACCCCAGGACTCGTATGGTGGAAGGTGACTTTCACATGCTCCTCCTTACATACGCACACAAATAAATAAACCTGATCTTTAAAAAAATGTTAAAGTCAAGTCACTGTACACTTGGAAGTTTAATCTCTCTGTCCTGTGCTACTCATCTCCAGTTGTCCTCATACCAGTGCAGCTCCACATTGATTACCACAAGAATAAAGTAAGTTTTGAGACCAAAAACTGTGAATGCTACAGACACAAGAAGCTGTTTTGGCTGTTTGGGGTCTTCTGACATTCCATATGAATTTTAGGACTTTTTTTTTTTTCTATTTCTACAAAAAAAAAAAAGTCACTTTGGGGGATGTAGAGATGGCTCAGCATAATAGAGTTCAGAAGACCCAGGTTCAGTCTCTAGCACCAGCATGGTGGCTCACAACCTTGTGTAACTCCAATTCCATGAAGTTACAGAACCTCTGCAGACACCTGCACTCACATGGTGTACATTCAGACAAGCAGGCTGGCTCAGTTACTTTTCTATTGATGTGATAAGACAAGACCAAGGAAATTTAAAGAAGAGACAGTGTATTTGTGCTTATAGTTTCAGAGGGTTAGAACCCATGGCCATCAAGACAGGGAGCAGGGCAGCGAGTAGGCAGGCACGGCACTGGGATAGTACCTGAGAGCTTGCATCTTGACTCATAAGCACAAGGCAGAGAGAGCTAATTGGGAATGGCATGGGCTTTTGAAACCTCAAAACCCACCCCCAGTGATACACCTCCTCCAACAAGGCCACACTTCTCTCAACAAGGACACACTTCCTCTGACATGGTCACACCTCCTCTAACAGCACCACACCCACTCTAACAAGGCCACACCTCCTAATCCTTCCCAAACAGTCCCACCAACAGGAAACCAAGCATTCAAATATCTGAGCATATGGGGAGCCGTTCTTTTTCAAACCACCACACAAGTGCACACACATACACATGAAAAATAAACACAAATGTTTTGAATGCCACTTTGGAATTTTAACAGGGACTTCACTAAACCCATAGATGACTTCGGATAATACTGTCATTTTAACAGTATTATTTTCTACTGCATGGGCAAGAAAATGGCTTTACATTTATCTGTGTTTTCTTTTATTCTTTCACCAATGTTTTCCATGTATTAGTCTTTTGCTTTCTCATTTGAATTTATTCATAAGTTTTTTATCCTTTTTGATTTTCTAGAAAATGGAATTTTTAGCCTTGCTCATTATTCATTGTTTGCACATACAAAATGCAGCTTAGTTTTGGTATGCCGACTCTGTATCCTGTAACTCTGCTGGATTTATTTATTAGCTCTAACAATGCTTCTGTGGAGTCATTAGCATTCTGTATATATGTCATCTGTAAACAGATAATGTTATTCTCCCCTTTCTATCTGTATGCCTTTTATTTCTCTTTCATGCCTAAATTCTGTCTAGTACTTCCAATACTTGTGAGATACAGGTGGCAAAAATGAGTGTTCTCATCTTGTCTCTACTGAGTACAGCACCACCAGTAGGCTTTATGTCACTGTGTAAAGCAAAAATAAGAGTATTCTTGGTAGGATTTTGACGTGTGAAATGAAATGTGTGAAACAATGGCACAAAGTTGAATGAGGAGAATAAACATATTTTTCAGGGTTTTATACAAGAATAGATATAATAGCGTGTGAAGATACATTGGAGGTTGCTACAGGGCCCATTCAAAAATATTGAGGTGTGCCTAGAAAAACATCAGGTATGAAGAACGGGGGTGCGGGCAGAGAACATATGGGATAAGGTTGGACAACTGCATACAAATGGCCTGCTACTCCAGATAAAGACAGACACCATCAAGCTAGGTAATAAAGCAAGAGCCAATGATATGCTTTTCACAAGAAACACCCTTTAAGGACAGAATCTAAAAGCCTGGGGAAAGATGCAAGCAATAATCATAGAACTCGAGTATCTGCTGACATTGGGCAAAGAGAACTTCAGGATAAGTGTTAACAGAAACAATGATTCAAAAGCCACAGTCATTAAGGCGACCTATGTGCATGTCCTTAGTGCTTCTGAGAATGTAAAGCAAAACTTGACTAAGCTGGAAAGAGATAAATTCACAGTTCAGTTATATTCAGGCATCTTGTCACTCATATCATAGTAACTGATAGGCTGACCCAAAGGAAAATCAGTAGTGCTATAGAAAACTTGGGTAGCAGTATCAACCAGTCTGGCCTCACTGACATAAATAGGACGAACAGAGCAGAATACACATTGCTCTCAAGTACACAGAGAACATTATATTCAGGGCTGTAAAGTTAGTGACAGGAATCTTAGGAGGATTGAAATAATATAGAATATATTTTCTGACCACAATAAAATTAAATTAGAAGTTAATGAAAAAATATATCTGGAAAATTTCTGAGTACTTAGAAATAGCAAGTGATTTCTAAACAGCCCACAAATCTAAGAACAAGTCACACATTGAATTAGAAAATACTTTAAGTGAATAATAATGAAAACATCAAAGTTACAGGGTCTTGGCTTATATGCTGATAAAGTTTTGCTTTTAAAAGCAAAATATGAGCAAACTAGCCTAAATTAAATAGAAGGAAAAAATAATGAATGTAATTTATTATAACAACAAAATATTTTAAGAAGCATTTTGATCATCTCAAAAGAGCAAAACTGTTTGACAAAGTACAGCACTGTACATATTAAAAACAAAACAGAAACTCTCTCAGCAATTGGAAAATAAAAGATAATTTCTCCCGTAAAGAGAATCTTGGAAAAAATCTCTATTTCTCAACAGTGACCAACCAAACACATTCCCACGTAGCTCAGGGGGGGAAAAGCAAGAATGTCCATTCTGTCCACTTCTGTTAAGCATGCTAGAAATAGTACCCAGCGCAATAAGAGAAAAATCAATGTATAATCATATAATACACACATATAATATATGACATGAAGAGTGAGCTGGAGAAGTAAGGCTACCTGAATCACAAGCTATAATCACTAAAGAGGAAACAAAGAAAACTCTAGAAGGATGCTAGAATTAGAACAAAATCAGTACATTCTGGACTTCTGTGGGCTATACAGAAGCAATTAAATATGAAATTAAAAAACACAATAACATAAAAATGTTAAACATTAGGGATATAGTTGACAAAATATGTACAGAAGTGTAAAATGAAAAACAGTATACTCCTTCAAGGAATTAAAAAGGACCAAAATTAATAGAAAGACTTACCATTTCCATGGCTTAAGAGACTCAGTAGTGTGCTGTGATGTCAACTCTACCCACATCTCTCTATGGTTTCAATTTAATTCCAATAAAAATAACTGCAACTCTTCTTTGCCAAGTAGGCGTTAACCAGCTGACTCTAAAAGCATGTGCAAATTGAAAGGATCTGGAATAACCAAGCCAGTTTTGGGGGGAAAACCCATAAAACAGAGGACTGATGCTCTCTTAGTGTCCAGACTCGATATGAACATGGTATTTGTGGCAATGCAATGTCAGAAGGCCAGCTGAACAGAAAATGGAATCTGCTATAGACTCAACCCCAAGCATGGTTGGTTTTCTTTTAAGGTGTGTTCTGGCTAAACTTGATATAAACGGAAGTCATCCAAGAGAAAGGAAAGTCAATTGATAAAACACCTCCATACACCTGGGCTGTAGGCCAGCCTGTGGTGCATGTTTTTGTTGTAGCTTGTTTTCGTTTGAGATAGGGGCTTACTACATAGCTTTAGCTGTCCTGGAATGAAACTCACTCTGTAGACCAGGCTGGCCTTGAACTCCCAGGGATCTGCCTGCCTCTGCCTCATGAGTGCTAGGATTAAAGACTCAGGCCACTATACCTGTATTGTTGTGCATTTTCTTAGTGATTAATATGGGGGGGCGGGTCGCCACTGAACTGTGGTTCTCCTTCTGTAAGAAAGCAGGCTGAGCAAGGCATGAGGAGCAAGCCAATAAGCAGTATCCCTCCATGGCCTCTGCATCAGCTCCTGCCTCCAGGTTCCTATTCCTCTTGAGTTCTCGTCTTGACTTTAATGGTGAACATTGATGTGGAAGTGTAAGCAAAATAAACCTTTCCCCCTCTAACTTGCTTTTTGGTCATGGTGTTTCATCACAGCAATAATGACCCCAAGACAAGATGCCAAGGTAATTAATTGGAGAGGAGAGTAGTCTTACCAACAAACATTGCTAGGAAAACTGGATATCAATTTGAAAAAAATAAACTCTTATACTTTGTATAACAATCACTTCAAAATAGATCATTAACAGAAGTATAACAAGTATTAAAATTAGAAAAACAGTGAACAAAACTAGGTCAATATTAGATTAACAAGGCTGAAGGAGCATGGTTCACTGGGTGTGGTGACACATGTATGTAATCTCAGCACCCAGGACTGAGGCAGGAAGATTCCAAGCCAGGGCTACTAAGTGAGAGCCTGTCTCAAAACAACCACAGCAGAGAGTCTGTTTTGTTTTGTTTGTGGGTGTTTTGTTCTTTTTAGTGTGTGTGTGTGTGTGTGTGTGTGTGTGTTTGAGGCAAGATTTCTCTCTGTAGACCAGGCTGTCCTCAAACTCAGAAATCCACCTGCCTCTGCATCTTGAGTGCTAAGATAAAAGGCATGCATGTGCCGCCGCCACCACCACCGCCGCCCCCACCACCACCACAAGGGGCTCATGTTAAGACTACTGTCTCGCCGGGCGGTGGGTGGCGCACGCCTTTAATCCCAGCACTCGGGAGGCAGAGGCAGGCGGATCTCTGTGAGTTCGAGGCCAGCCTGGACTACCAAGTGAGTCCCAGGAAAGGCGCAAAGCTACACAGAGAAACCCTGTCTCGAAAAAAAAAAAAAAGACTACTGTCTCAATAACACTTAAAACTCACCATAAAGGGGCAAGAGATGTCATGAAATAACAACTGACCTTCACATGACAAAGCACTTAACGTTAGTTTCACCGTGCAAATTAAGGCCACAGCGAAATGCTGCGACTCGTGCTTCTGGTTTGCTTTCTGTTGGCACGGTAACCATGACAACCAAAGGAAACTTGGAGAGGATAAGGTTTATTACATCTTATAGTTCATCACTGAGGGAAGCCAGGGGAGGTGCGCAAGCAGAGGCTGTAGAGAAATGCTGCTTACTGGCTTGCTCCTGATGGCTCCCTCAGTTTGCTTTTTAAAAATACAATCCAGGACCATCCAGGGGTGATATCACCCACAGTGGGCTGGGGCCCCCATGTTAATCCTACATTAATCAAGAAAATACCCTGTAGACTTGCCTACAGGCCAATCTGATGGAGGCACTTTCTCAATTAAGTTTCTCCTCTTCCCAGATGACCTTGACTTCTACCAAATTGACAAAAAGAAGCAAACAAGCAATAAACCAGCTCAATTGATTATTTGTCAACTTGACACACAAATACATTATTATTAAGCCATAGTCTTCCCTTTATTGTTTATCCTAAGATCCCATGTTTATATCACAATATGAAGTATACTATAACTTTATAGATTCAAAGTCTTTTAAAAATATTCAAAGTCTCATACCACGGATTCCTGTAAAATCCAAAATAAGTTGCATACTTTATAATTCCAAGGCAGGGAGAACCAGAGCAGAATTATAATTGGACCACAGCAAAATAAAGTCTAACAGTGTGGAAAAATTCAATGCCCAGCGTCTGGAACTCACTCATGATCTTTGGGGCTCCAAAGAGCTTGAGCAGTTCCTCTTCCCTAGCTCTGCCATCCACAGCACACACACAGTGTGCTTTGTAGGATAGACTGGCTCCATTCCACGTCTATCACTGTCTTTAGGGGTCATCTCCCAGCCCTGCCATCTTCCATATGTTGGAGTCTCCGCTGCAGCTGAGGCTGTACCTTCACCAATGGCCTCTCCTGGCCTCTCAGTGCCAAGTCTCAGCTTCTCTCCACGAGACCTTCAACCCTTTGTTTCCATGCTGTCAGAATAAGTACCATGTAGGAGATTCTTACAGGTTACCAAATTCAGCTGCTAGCTTGAGATGCAGCTTTCGGCCCCTTTGGACCATAGCTTCTGTGTGCTGTCCCTGAGAAAAAAAACTTCTGAGAAGATTTCACCTCAGTGATGTTGGTCTCTTCTCAATCGCAACTGATTTCTCAACCCTAATTAACCAGTGTCAATCGTCCCAGCAAAGCAAAGGTTTCACTTCAGTGGTGTTGGTCTCTTGCTAATCACAGCTTATTCTTCTGCCCCAGAGGACTGGAAACCACAGATTCTTCATTCAACCTGACCATATGTATAGCCCCAATAGCCCTTGCTTCCCTCTGAACCTTCATAAGCCAGGCCTCCATTGTATGCATTTCTCCAAACAAGCTCCCACAGAACAGCCCTTTAAGCTTTGGGCACTCCAGAGATTTTCTGGTTCAAAGTTCCAAACACTTCCACAATCCTTCCCCAAACAACACTGTTAAGTCTGTCTGTCACAGCAATAGCCCCGTCTCTTGTACCAATTTCTGTTCTGTTTTGCATTCTATTACTGTGGGGTGGGGGGAACACTGATTAGGACCAGTTTAGAGAGGATAGGGTTTATTTGGCTTACACATTCCAATCACAGTCTATCATTGTTGAAAGAAGTAAGGAAAGGAACTCAAGGAATCTGGAGGTAGTAACTGAATAAGACACCACAAAGAAATGCTGATTACTGGCTTGATCCGCATGGGTCACTCATATATATAAATATAAATATAAATATAAATATAAATATAAACTTATATATATTTATATTTATACACACACACACCCAGGACCACATATATAGAAGTGGCATCACCCACAGTGGGCAGGGACCTCCCACATCAATCATGAATTTTTTAAAAAATGACCCATATGCTTGCCTACAGGCCAATCTGATAGTGGCATTTTCTCAGTTGAGGGTTTCTCTTCTCAGGTGTCCTTTGTTGGTGTCTAACCAGCACAGCACTCACGTGTATAACTGAAATTGAACTCTGACAATTGGCTGGGATGTGTCACACTTAGAAGTCACATATACTGCTGATGAAAATATAAATAATGCCATCACTTGGCTCTGTCTCCTTAAGCACATATTTAACCTCTGCAAGAATCCTACTTCCACACATTTATGCAAAGAAATCTATCCATGAAATAGTCTTATAGTCACATTTGTTTATATAACATAAACTGGAACAATTGAAAATGCCCACCAACCAGCATGAAGGAAAACAAGCCATGAAATATGTACAAATGGAATCTACTCCATAGTACCACGATAAATATAGCAAGATGGATTATCTATTACCAAAACTACAGAGCGAGGAAAACTTGTCTATAGTGACAGGGAAATAGATCAGTGACTTGTCTGAGTGAGGCTACATCAGTAGAAGAGTGTCTGAAATGGGGCATGAGAAAAATTTGGGGGGGGTAAATGTTTTATATTTTAATTGGAATGGTTGCACAAATGCATGCATTTGTCAAGACTCACAAAACCACCAGCTTAAAAGAAATGCATTTTACTATGCAAGTTACTTTTCCAAAAGTTCTCTTGAAAAAAAGTCTAGAAACAAGCCACAGTGTAATCACACAATAAATACCTCCTAAAACTCAAATCATTTGAACAATTATACCAGAAAATAATCTTAGTAATTGCTTTATTTTTGCTCTATACTAATGAAAATGTAGCTTAAAATAATGCATCATCTTAATATGTTTAATGCAAAGATTTATGTCTACCATGTTAGTAACAAGAATCAGAAAACAAAACATTTCTTTGTATGTGCCTGTGAGTCCATGTGGGTGTGCAGATGCATGTGTGCCCATGGACATGCATGTTGGTGTGGAAGCCAGAGACTAAACTCAGATGTTGGGCTCGGGGGCACCAGCTACCTCCTTGGAGATAGTCTTTCATTGGCCAGAAGCTCACTTATTAGAGTAGACCTGCTGCTGGCCAGTGAGCCCCAGGGATCTCCTGTCTCCACACCTGCAGTGTCGGGATTGCTAGCACATGCCACCACACACAGTGTTTTTATGCGGGTTTGGGGGAATCAAATTCAGCTCATGGTACTGACAAGGTAGGTGTTTTACCTCCTCAATCACCTGCAAAGAACAAAGCACACCTCTTATGAGAAACAGCTTCATTTTCACATGAGAAGCTGCAGCATGTTGATGGCTACCTTACAGTTATTTAGTGACGTGAAGCCATGTCAGATGGGGGTGCGTGATTTTCTTTCCTTACCCACTAGGCTCTAAAATGACAGGATGATTATTCCTCTAAAAAATAATTCTCTTTGCAGGTCTCATCACATGCTCAATTAATTTTCTTCCTTTCAGATTTTTATGCTAAAACAGAAATTTTGTAATTAAATTCCTTACTATATGCACTTAACAATGCTTCACAATGGTGTATTTTTATTGCAATTTGATTATGTTGCTTGTGCAGGGATTTTATATTAACCTGAATTCTTAGGCTTATGTACTAGAAAATTTATATGCACATACAAGGAGAGCTTTATATATAATATGACCTAATATGCATGAGTTTGCAAGCAATTTCCTCTCACTTGTCAGCATGGATCCCCATTTTTATGACTCAGTTTTCATGACCTGTATATATTTATTCTAGTTCTTACTGGATTAACCAAGTACGCTGCTAATGATTCAAATCTCCGGGTCACTGCAACACTTTACAGGAGGGGTGATATATAATATTTAGAATTGGGATCATTCTGTGGCACTTGAATTGGTGGTTAGCATCTCATGGGCTGCATAAGGATCTCAATGTAATTTTTGCATTTAAAAATGTTTTTTTATTCTTCTACTTCAATTTTATATGAGACCTGGCCACCATTTTTCCCATAAGAATCCTTCTGTAGTGCAGGTTTTGAACTCACTATCCATGCTGTAAGGGTTAGCACCCTAAGCTTTGAAATTATTTTCAATAGAAATAAATAACATGTTATTTTTTGTGAGCTCATAACTAATAAAGGACGAAGATTACTCAATTTGAGACTAGGATAGAACATGCAGCTGTGACACACCATGTTCAGATGATTGCTACAGGGGAAAAAATGCTTTTCCTTTCTCAGAGTATTTGAAAGTCAATGTACATGCAAACGGCAAGTCCAAATACTCAGCCACAGGACCTTTTCTTACCTGTACAATTCTCCCATGCCCAGGCTTCTTGTTCTCTCTAGGGATCTCGGGGAACCTGGTGTCCATTTGGAAAGTGTGTTTGGCAAGGTAATATATTCAAACATTGTTGCTTCTGTGGTGGCATGCAGCGAGGGTGGCAGTGAATAGATGGACTAATGGAAGCCTAACAATGCCTTTGACCAACCTGGAGCAGCGTGTCTGCTTCAAGGCTTGGCTTCCTACCTGGAAAAAAAGCGTGAACTAACCGCCATGCCGAATGCCCACTTCTAAATAGTTTTTCTACAGTGCTGTGAATGAGTTCTTGAGTGATCTCAGCACACTGTAGTTTCTAAGTGTTAGCCTTCTTGTTCAGCTGTTGGAAGCATAGGCTTGCTGGACCTGTTTCCATACAGCAAGAGCCAGCATTTATAACCTTCTCGGATGTCCCACCCTTCCCACCGTGCCAAGCCCTAGTGTGGATTATCTATTAACTTTCACAACAACCTGATGAAATCAGTGATATAGATGTGCTGAGGAGATGGGGGCCTATGTAAGTTGAGCAACTTGTCCAAGTTCATACACATAGCGAGTGAAGAACTTGGGCTCAAAACCAGTCAGGCAGGCTCCAAAGCTAAACTCATCTTTATTTCTTAATGCTTTCCAGCTTTTTAAAACCATTTATCACTGTGTGAAATTTCTGTTTATTGTCTCTGTACTCAAATACATATTTCTTGATTGCAGAGACATTGCATCTCCATCTAAAAAGCCCTGTGTGCACTACAATAGGCATTAACTGAATGGTTAGCATTGCTTTCTAGAATGGGAAATCAAAGGGATGGCAACTGGATCATCCCTAAACGTTGACAGTTTTTACATTTGAGGAGTATTCATTTTAGCAAGCAGTTTGTTCAAGTAGAAAACTCTTCAAACTGCTTAAAGATAGGACTTCAAAAATAAAACACGTTCTCTTTAAAGACAAAGCTGTACACGGAGGAATTTTGACTATTCAGTAATATAAACGTCCATCCTGAGTGTAAGGCTGATACAGCTCAGACCCTTTCTGGGAAGAAAATCCTTATGTCTGGGAAGGAATTCTTTATGTCACTCATATCCCTTAAAGATGCCTAAGTCAAGAACAAAGCTAGCCCTAATCCCTGCGGGCTTAGAGAGGGTAGGCACAGACCCAGCTTTGCTTATGAGAATCTCCATGTTATAAGATGACTTCAGATCTTGCTCAGTTCCCATGTCTTTCACTAGTCAGTTGTATCTGATAATAGCACATGAAAGAAAATTTAACAAGGTGTTATACAGAACCACAGACAATCTAGGGTCACCAGAAGCTGCCTGGATTTTGGCCTGGGAAGCCGAGGCTAGTTCTCAAGCTGCTTTCCCATCTCTTTCCTTGTTTGGTCTTCAATTTTTGACCCCCTACCTACTTTTGCTTTTTTTCTCTTTTTATAATTTCCCATTCTGAATATGTCATTTGCCTCCTCATATAAGTGAAAAAATGTAGCTTCTGCAAAAGATATTCTTGTTGCTAATGATAACACTATGATATTGGAACCCAACCTCATCCCCTAAACCCACATTTTGAAACTAAATAGTATCTCTCTGTATAAGTCTGAAAAACCTTCTTTCTCAACTAGTACCATACCTGGGCTTCTTCTGGATCATTTCTGCACTTCCTTACCATAGAAACTAGCATGCTGTCATGTTAGGACTGTTTCACAAAACTGTAATTTTGAAGTTCCTAAATATAATTAATCTATTATCTAAAAAAAAGACACAATGCAAACATTTCAAAAGGATATTCTTAGTTGAAATAAGTACCTAGGGAGCACTTTTTCCCTGCCATGTCTTTATTTAAGTTTCCTCTTTTGGACTAGGTTATCTCAAACCAGAGTCTGGGACCTTGTTCTTCAATGTTGGGGCAGAGTTTACATTCTACTTCATTCATTTCCTCCAGTTCCATTCCACAGTTGTGTTTGAAATGTTAATTGTGGTCTGTTGGTGTATTCACATCCAGATTATATTCAGTGCCCATACTGTATGAGGAGGTTTAACGAAACTGCTGCCCAGCGACACATTAATTTCTGCAAAACCCAGTCCTCGCGATGCGTGTTTGATCCAGCCCAAACAGCAGCTAGACTGGCATCCAGAGCTCAGGTACGTATCTTTCCTCCAGGTGTGGGCTCTGTGTCCTTGCATGCCTGAGGCAAATAGGTAGGATCTACCCGGGAGCGCTGTGGTGGGGACTTATAGAGCAACAGAGCTCAACCATCCATCCTCAGAAACACAAGGGTCAGAAGACTGATCACTATCGTTCGTCTCTGTGGGAGTTGTCTACTCCTGGCCTGAAGTACTTTTGGGTGTTGCAGGAAAAAAAAATGATTTCTAAAATGTTTGAAGCCTTTCAGGATGAAGACTTCAGTATATAAAGAATGTCTCTATAGCATTACACTAATCCCCTGCTTATTCAACGGTGTTTATCAGCCTAACCCACCCAGAAAAGAACTATGACTCAGAGAAACTGGTCTGGGTGGGAGAAATGTTGCCAAGAAGATGCCTCACAGCTTGGGTCCTGATCTGGAGAGGAGAAGGGGGATGGATGAGATACACAACATGTCTAGTTTATGGCCCGAGGCGCCAACCAAAGACACAGAGTCTCTGATGGGGATTGACAAGACGGAACAGCAAAGGCAAGAGATTTAGGAGGGTTATGGTTCAGACAGTTCAGATTGGAGGATGAAAGGAATCGATCAGTTAGGCACTCCGAGCTCTGGGAACAGCCAAGCCTGAGAGTCTGGGAGCAGAGACAGGAAAATATCTGAGAAGCCAGGCTGCCGTCATCCCCACCTTCCTTTCCAGCCTTTTCCCACGACTTCTTTTTCTTTTTCTTTTTTTAAATTGAAACAGAGTTTCTCTGTGTAGCCATGGCTGTCCTGAAACTTGCTGTGTAGAGCAGGCTCTCCTTGAACTCAGAGATCTGCCTGCCTCTGCTTCCCAAGTGCTGGGATTAAAAAAAGACGAGTGCCACCATGCCTGGCAGCATAGTCTTTTCTGTCCCATTGTCTGTCAGTGGCTTCCTGTGTCCTCACAGTCAATGTAGACCTGAATTTAGTGGGGGAAAGCAGAGTGGCGTGCAATGGACTTTTAGAAGGGTCACTTCTGCAGTGACTGTCCAAGAGGAACTGGGGGCAACCAGGAAGGAGACCCAGTGGGGAAAATTAGGGACCCTTCGAGTGAGGGGACTAGTAAGAGAACAGCATAAGGAATAATTAATGAAGCTGAGAAAATGATTGGCACTAAAATAAAACTGGGCATCAGCGTTTGGGCACCTAGATAATAGTACAGGTTGTAAATCTCTTATCTAAGATGATATTTCAGATTTACTCAGAAATATTTCTGATTTTTATAATTTATTTATTTTTTTTTTTTTTACAAAATTGGCATGTGCATGTATACCTAATACACATAGCCTGAAGGTAATTTATACAAGGTTTCCCATGTGCCTGTGTGTCAACTGCAACACATCCCGTGAGGTCATCCGAGGAGATTTTCTCTTGTGACAGCATGGTAGCGGTCGGTCAAAGTGCTCCTGATTTTGGAGCACTTCTGATCACACATCTTTGGATTAGAGGTGCTCAAAACCGGAGGGAACACAGGAGGGAGGATACATGACACATATGTGTCGGGTGAGTGGTGAGTACAGGTCTCGAGGGTTAGTCTTCCCAGCTGAGATAGTGTGTGTGTGGGGGGGGTGCCATGTGGAGAGGCAGGACTCTGGCATCAGCAGCAAGGGTTTGACTTCCCATTGTGTGGTGGATTGTTTGTAGGTAAGTCTTTGAGATTTGCCTTTGCCTGGTAAATGACATTAATCACGTATAACTAGTTGAGTGCTTGGAAGTCTGGCCCTGGCCCAGAGAGTCCCTTGCCTGTCTTCTCTCCACTTACCTCATCCTCCTTCCCCTTGCAAAAGCCTTTCCTCTTGCTGGGGTTGCAATCACAATTTTGAAGGACCATGGCAGCTTTAGGCTTGAATTCAACCTAAGTGCGGAGAAGTCTGGAGGTTCAACTCTTCTTCCACCATGTACAGCAGTACCAGCAACTGACATTACTACAGACGGTCTGTCCGATCCATGGAGCTTGCCAGTGTTCGTGGGGCCAAAGAGGGTGGAGGGAATGAGCAAACAGAAGTGTTTTTTTTTTTTTTTTTTTTTTTTTTTTTTTTGCTTGCAAAGAAGGCCAGCTGGCTATCCCGAGCATAACCAGTGACTTGGCCCTGTTCCCCTCCTTGTTTTCCAGAGCTTAGTAGCGACTGGGAGCACAGAGGGAAAATTGCTTGCTCCCTGAATTCCTTTGCTCTCTGTCGAGCATGTCTGAATGGCAGTGTTTTCTCCCCGAGTGCCAACGCCACCACTCTGGGATCTTGCCTAATAGTGAGCTTGTTCAGAAATGGAACAAGAAGAGGAAGTTTGTTTCAGGCTTGCAGGACTGTTCATGGCACAGCCAGAATGTGTTTCTATTTCAAACATAATCAACTTTAAAAAAAATCTGCCATACCCTTAACCAGAGGAGACCAATATTGGCCTCTAAAAATAAACCTTTGGGGGCAAGAGAGATGGCTGGATGGTAGCATTTGCCGTGAAAGCAGGAGGACCTGAGTTCGAATCCCCAGCACACAAAAGCCAGTTGTGGGCACACAAAAGCCAGTCGTGGGCACACATGTCTAGAATGCTAGCACTGGGGGCAGAGTCAGACAGATCCTGGGAGCTTACTGGCCAGCCAGATAGCCAAAACATCGAGCTTCCTGTTCAAGGACAGACCTTGTCTCAAAAGACAAGAAGAACAATAGAAAAGGATATCCAACACCCTCCTCTGACCGCCAGACGCTTGGGTAGACACTAACATCCACTTGAACATGTACACACACACACACCCCATACACACAAAATACTAACAACAACAACAACAATATTATTATTATTTTAGCTGCCTGAGGATGGATGATCTGTCCTAGCACAATAATCCTTGCATTGGTGAGGAATTTACTTAAATAACATTGTCTTGGTGCTGTGTTTTCCAAGGGCCTGGAGATAGATCCACAGAGAGCTACAAGGGGCCTCCCCAGAATGCTTTGGTCTTTGTCTGCTTTCCATCTGTGCAGCTGCTCTGTAGGACTAGCGAAGGCCTGGGGGTATTGGAATTCTATGCTTAAAACATGTGCTGCCTGTCAATCTCCGTTTTCCATCTCTGTTCTGGTTAGGAAACAAAGCCATCTTCAAGGGTAAAGAAAAATAAAACATTCCATAACTACATCCTGACTGACATTAAATGATTTCTTCTGTCCACACACAACTGATTTTATAGGATGAACAGACCACCACCAACCCTGAGGGCTTCCTTATAAATGAATGTTCCCAAACTAAACTGTGGCATTGAGCACCAGCAAGAGACCACAGCCCAGGCTAATGGAAATGCTGGGTGTGTCTCTCCTGGGTGCAAGAGTCCCCGTGATGACTCTAACCTTCTGCTAGTTGAGTGAATACTAACTAGTTTACTTCACGCTTGGTACCCGGTGTTGTGTCTCCTTCTATTCGTAGGGTAAGGCCCAAGCAACTCCCAAAAAACAACCAACTGTTACGAGTGCTGTGGGAACCCTGCTGCAGAACAGGGCTGTGGAAGCCAAGAATGAAGTCACGGCCAATCCAAGTAAGTCAGAGCGTGCACTTGGGTCATCCAGTTACGGGGGTAGAGCCAGCATCCTGCCGTGGGGATCTGCTGGTGGTCAGTAAATGCTAAAATGGCATCCAGTGCTGCTGCTGCTGCTGCAACACACACACACACACACACACACACACACACACACACACACACACACACACACACACACGAGCTTGTTGGAGGTTGAAGCTTCTTTACCAGGAGGGAATATTTCTTATCAGGATGGCACCACTCTGACCAAGTGGGAAGTCCTGTTTGATTACGGCGGCAGGAGCCCACAGCTGTTGCTTCTGAGTCTGCTAAACCTGAGAAGGTTGAGATTGGAAACTCACAGGTCGGGTGTACAAATGAACAATTTCTCCGGAGTGGCAGCAGGCACAGCCATCATTACAGTACCGGCCTTGTGCCTCCCAGGGACGCGCTACATAGTTTACTCTGCCGCCTACAGAGAAGGGAACTGGGGCTCAGAGAGGAGGATATTCGACCTTGCTAAGGCGCATAGCTGGTAACCAGCAAGTTGGATTAGATATCTATTGTACTCTCCACCCGCAGCGAGCTGCACAATAAACAGGGCTGTCTTCTCTGTGCCCAACATGCATTTTTATAACATCAACCTACAAAGAACAAATTGCCCTATGGCATTTGCATGCCTACTTTGCTTCCCTCTCCGCGTCCCCTCCCCCTCCCCCCAACTTCCCTGGCCCTGATCCTCATGCTCCCTTCCAACCGCAGGACTCACTGCTTCTGCTTACATATCACTTGTCAACAGGCACTGTTCAGACAGCGTATATTATTACACAGCCACAGCATCACTTCTGGACAGTCGTCAGGTTTTGAAGTTATCAGCCAGTCTCTGCCTGAGGGACAGCACCAGGAAGATTGGCTGTTGATTTTGGGTGGCTTATCTCAGGCTGAAAAAACCTAAGGGAGGGTCCCGGGAGATGGCTCAGTGGGTAAGAGCGCTCGATGTGAAAGCATGAGAATTCCAGTTCAAATCCCCAGTAAAAACCTGGGTGTGGCCAGACACATACCTTTGCCCTAGAGTGGTGGAGAAAAGTGATTAGAAGATGGGTGGTGCCAGTCTAGCTCTGGATTCAGTGAGGGACCCTGTCTCAAGGGGAGAAGGAAGAGAGGGATAGAACAAGACACTGACATTCTCCCCTGACCTCCATACGCCTACACCCACATATGTAAGTGTGCACATACATCATGCACAAAATACCATACACATATGCCACACACACACAACACAAAGACCTGAGTCAACACTTTAAAGCTGTCTGCACAGCCTTATGAACCCAAGTTGTTAGGGTTTTGTTTCTTTGGCTTTGTTTTGGCAACAATACTATTCGTATTTTTTTAATTAAATTTTTTTTTCATTTTTTCCAATTTTTACATACATTTACCATCTTAACTATTTTAATGTACAGCTCTGTGGTATTAAATGCATTCATCATATTGCATGAGAAAACTCCACCACCGGTTTCTAGCCCTTGTCCAGGTCTGAGAATGGAGCCTGGGTCTTTGCACACTCCGCACGAGGGTTCTACCCCTGAGCTGCATCTCAGTCCCTCTCTTTGTTTCTTTTTAAATCACATTCATTTAGAGTGTGGGCATGTGGGCATGCACATGCCGTGACGCTCCTCTGAAGGTCAGAGCACACCTTGGAAGAGCCAATTCTCTCCTTTTATCATTCGGGTCCTGGGGCTCAAACTCAGGCCAGCAGGCTTGACAGTAAATACCTTTACTTGTCAAACCATCTTGCAGCCTTATTTTGACTTTTTTATTTTCAGAGACACACTAAGTGGCCCAGGAAAGGCTTGAACTCATTCTAGGACCCCTGTAGTCCTGGAACCTGGGCTCCTCCTGCCTCAGCCTCCCCAGTAGCTGGGTGTACAGACCTTTCACTCTGTAAAACTGAAAGTGTGTACCCGTTAAACGTTAACTCTGTATTATCTCTCCTCTTGTTCTTCTATGATCTTGTCTGTTTCACTTATTCCCACAGCTGCACAGCATTTCCATATTTTCATGACTATATTATTTCTTAAGATTAAGGCTTAGGATAATGTCTTCAAAGGTCCAGCCATGGTGCAGCGTATGTCAGAATTGCATTCCTTTTTGAGGCTTCACATTTCATTGTGCATGTGTGTGTCTGCATGTGCATGCTTACTCCTCTACTTACTTATCCGTCGGTGTGCAGCAAGCTGTATCCACAACTTAGGTGCTGCAAACCTGTCCAAGGCTCTTCTTTCAGTTCCTTGAGACCTGACTTTCAACTCCTGGGGTAAATACCCAGGAGCAGAATTGCTGGGTCTTACAGTCGTTCCATTTTTAAGTTTCTGAGAAGTCACATGATGTTTTCTATACCAGCTGTACAATTTTACATTTCTACCTACTAACATTGTTCAAAGAAGAGATCCATGTTTCCATGTCCTCAACAAATCGTGTGTGTATGTGTGTGTGTGTGTGTGTGAGAGAGAGAGAGAGAGACAGACAGACAGACAAAGAAGCCATCCTAATGTATAAAGTGATATGCCATCGATACTTTGATATGTACTTGTTTAATGATTTAGAATGCTAAAAAAAAAAACTTTTCAATGGCTTATTGGCCATTCATGTATTACCTTTGGAGAAATGTTTACTCAAATAATTCCCATTTTTAATTTACTGCTGTGTTCATTTCTTTTGAATCACTGTGATGACCAAATACCCAACAGAAACAACTTAAGGCAGGAAGGGATTTCATAGTTGGTTTTTTTTTTTTTTTGTGGGGGGGCCACCACCCAGCTCACAAATAAATACATGGAAACTTATTCTTAGTTATGAATGCCCAGCCTTAGCTTGGCTTGTTTCTAGCCAGCTTTTCTAACTTAAATTATCCTGTTTCTCTTTAACTATATTTTGCCTCTGGGCTTTTTACTGTTCTTTATTCTATGTGTCTTTCTTCCATTCTTACTCCATGGCTGGCTGTGTGGCTGGGTGTCAGTCCCCTGGCATCCCCCGTCCTCCTTTTTTTTTGCTCCTCCTCCTCTCTTGAGCCTAGAATTCTCCTTCTATTTATTCTCTCTGCCTGGCAACCCTGCCTAACCCTCTCCTGCCTTGCTGTTGGCCGTTCAGCTCTTTATTAGACCAATCAAATGTTTTAGGCAGGCAAAGTAACACAGCTTCACAGAGTTAAACAAATGCAACATAAAAGAATGCAACACATCTTCGCGTCATTAAACAAATACTCCATAGCATAAACAAGTGTAACACATCTTCAACTAATATCCCACAACAGGATTCGTTTAGGCTAGTGGTTTCAGAGGTATCAAGACATACATTTGAGGGCATGGCATGGAAGACAAGCTCACATCATGGTGGCCAGGAAGCAAAGGAAGGAATGAATTACTGAGCTGGCTTTCTTTTTCCTTTTTCCTCTTTTATTATTTGAGTCCCCAGCCTGGGTAGATGGTGCTTCCCTCATGAAGGGTGGGGTCTTTCTTCCTAGTGTAGCCATCTGCAAATGCCCTCAAACACATACCTGGAAGTGTTCAACTGATCTCGAAGTAATTCTAAAGGCATTCAAGTTAACAATCAAAATTAACCATTTGGCTTGTATACTTTTCTGTTGCTGTGATAAAATTACCTGACAAAAGGAAATTAGTAGAAATTAGTAGCAGCAGCAGGAACTTGAAGAAGCTGATCACATTCCATCCACAGTCACGAAGCAGAGAGCAATGAATCCTTATGCACTGCTCACCCTCTGCTCTTTATACAGCTCAGCTGCCTCAGCCTAAGGAATAATGCACTTATAATAGGTGGGCCTTCCCACTTCAGTCAACTTACTCAAGATAACACCCTTGAGGTATACACAAAGGCCCATCTCCCAGATATTCTAGACTTCATAAATTGAAAATTGAGATTAGTCAATCACAACTACACCTCTTATCACCTTGATACCCAAATACAACATCATTTAAAACTATAACCTTTCACTCCTTATCACCAAAGTCTCATGTTCATCTCATAAATCAATATACAATCCAACTTCAAGAGTTCCCATAGTCTAACAATTCCAGTGGTTTAAAAAGTCTAAAGTCCATTTCTCATCCGAGACTTTAGCTATAATCTCTGACAAAATTAAAAGGAAGTTGCATGATCCCAACATACAACAGCACAGAATAAACATCATCATTCCAAAATGGACGAGCTGAGGCATAGCGAATGAGTGTTGGACCAAAATGCCAAAATTCAAAGGGCAAACGCCAAATCCTAAAACTCCATGTCTGGCATCTGAGACTCAAGATGAAATTTGCTGGAATCCAAAATGCTTAGCTTGTCCCACCCTTCCAGCTAGGCCACATGCATAACACACAACCTCTCTCTAAAGCCAAACCTACTCCATTCCTGCAGCTTTCCACAGAAGATGTCCAATGAGCCAGATGTTTCAAACAATCCTGAAGTGTTTGTTATAACTTAGACTTTGCCTTAACAATTTCTGGCTCCTTAGGACCTCATTGCAGGAATGCTGACCCTGCCATACATTGCTTGGCCTCTGCTGTTCTCTGGAACAATGGAACTGGACTCCATGTCCCCCAGGTCTTGCATCCTTCATGCCTACAAAACCCATAGACAGTGCCCTCAACTTCTCTTGCCAACTCATGATTTAGCTTGACCCTCTTGTAACACAGCTGAATGGACTTCTGTGTGCTGACCCTAGGGAAACACTTATCTTCAGTTTGGGCATTCTTGCTCCAAATAAATTTAGATCTCTACAAGACAGATCCTCTGATGGGTAGGTTTAACCATTAAGACACCTTTCCTATTATCCCAGTGTAGCACATGAGGTTTCTCTTGAGTAGTTCTGATCTCTTTAGAAAAAACAGCTGTTTGCTTAGCACCAACCTGAATACTACCCTGCCTTGAAATTTCCTCTGCCAAACAGATTAGTCCATTGCCTTTGAAAATTCAACTGCATCCTAGATCTTGAGACACGGGGAGGCTAG